TAGGGGGTTAAACTCAGACTCAGAATATTGTGGGGTGGTGCAATACAAGATATGTACAAGATTTTATAAAATTTAACATTGTAAATTATTCAATAATATGTGATCTGATAACTCAAAAATTAAGTTATAAAATGATAATTATATTTATTTATATATTCTAATACATCTTACATACAAGATAAATTCATATGTTTTTTGAAAGATAAATTTATATTCTATTTAGATATATTTTATTATAAATTTTTTTAAAAAAATAAATTATTACTAATATTAAACTTTAAAATATTAAAAGAAAAATAATGTATGCATTTCATTTCTATACTATATTAAAAGAAACACACAAAAAAAATAATAAAAAATGTGAGAAAAAAAAATATTAAATATTACCTACGGAAAAAAAATTTGTAAATAATTTCCGTAGGTAACAAAACATTACATACGGAATTTTTTCCATAGATATATGTAATTTTTTTCGTAGGTAACAAAATATTACTTAGGAAAAAAATTCTGTAGATAATTTTTCATAAGTAACAAAATATTATTTATGGAAAAAATTTCGTAGGTAATTTTCTATAGATAAAAACATATTATTTATGAAAAAATTTTCATAAATAATAACAATTTTTCTTGTAGTGCATAAAGACTACTGTAAAATAAAAGAAAAATGGACAAATAGTAAGAGCAATTTTTCTGGTATACACTACAAACAGTAAAGAAATATGATGCTTGCATACCCTGGTAAGGAATGGCCTTATTTTTATCCCCACTCAACAGCAACCAAAGATTAGAATTAGATGCACAATATATACTTTACCAACACCACACCAGCAAATAATACTAATTAGTAATTAATCAACCTTCTTTGTGAGTTGAATATATATAATCTATTCCAAGCCTTAATTTTCCTTCAAGGAACCAGACTTTCGAACAGCTGTTGTAGCCCTGAGCTTCTTCCTAACACGCTGAATAAAGTCCGAATAATGGCTTTCGTTTTTGTTGCTACCGTGGACTTCTTGATCCGGTGCAGGCGCAGGGTGGTTGCTCTGAGCCCAACCAATGTTTGTCATGCTTCTCATCATTTTCTCCCTCGTATTTTCAATGAACACTTTGAAATGTTCATTTATATCCATTTGTTTCTTACCTTGTGGCTCAGCTTGCACCACTACGTGACCATGTTGGTGTTGTTTCCCTTGCATGGGAACATGCTGTGGATGAGGTTGACGTGTGATTGGTCTTCCTGATGAAGCAGCTTTTGCTGCACTGACGGGGATTGCACCTGATTCTTCTTTGCGAGCCTTATGATGTGGTGGGGGTTTGTTTTTGATGCTAATATTAGTGTTGGGTGGTGGAGAATTTGGACGTTTTGTAACGGGTTCAGGTTTTTGATTGAAGCTTGAGATGCGTTGAACGGCTTGGATTGCAGGATTGCTTGTAAGTGCTTGACGGATTTTCCTGCATATAGAATAGTTTGAATTGTTTTTGTTTTTGTCCATAGAAACTGTAGGGGGTTAAACTCAGACTCAGAATATTGTGGGGTGGTGCAATACAAGATATGTACAAGATTGTTTTGATGTTTTTTATTTATAGTGTGGAAGGGTAAGATGAAAAAGGATTATATAATTTATTATAAATTTTATTTATACATAATAAACGTTTAGTCTATACAACTTACTATATTTTCTCATAATTTAGTATCATGATGTCATCATCGATTCAAATTGCAAGAACTATAATTATTATTGAATTTTAATTATTTTAATTTAATATATCGACAATCACTGTATTTGGATATATTTAATGTTCTTTTGCGAATAGATTTATTAAATTTTATCAAAGACGTGTATTTAATTTATATATTATATGATAATTTTTTATTTTATTTTTTAGGATAAGTAACTATAGTCATAAAATTTACGTAGTAGATTATTGACTTGGATAATGCAAAACTAAAAATACTAATGTATCACCTATTCTTGAAATAAAATTAAATTGAGGTGAATAAATATTAGAGAAGGGTTAATATGCACTTATCTCTCCGGTGGTCTTTATAATAGTTTCTAAAAATAGAAACTTATTCTTATATGTTTTTATTACTAGTGTTAATAGTGCATTTATTAATAACTTAAATCATTGTAAATTATAGCTAGAGTTTATAGAGAACACTTCTTAATAAAACATTGAATGTTGATCTAGCAGTGAGAATTAAGATAAATATACAAGACTTTATATTCGAATCATCATTGTAATAATTTTTATTATTAAAAAAATCTATAGTAAAGCATTTAGGTCACAATCTAGCACCATCTTGATACTCATTTCTAAAAGGATTAATGTCTATCAAATTTGTGTGCTCCTTTCGCAGCAACAGGGTCTATGAACCCAATAACTTATTCCCAAATGTTGTCACTGATGTTTATCCATTCCTTCATCAGTGGCTTTGAAGGTGGAGGAATTTGTTGAGAGCATTGCCCAAGCTTTATAGCCTCCATTGATGTGTTCTTTGTTTGTCTTTGTCTTTGTTTTTATTTTTATTTTTTTTTCTTTTTCTAATAAAATGTTTTAAAATACCATAGACTATATCTACAGGTGGTTTATGGTGTATGACTTTTGTTAACCATTGAATGGTGTTTCAATATGTTAACAAATCAAAGTGTATGATATCGTGTTGTAATATTTTTGAATTAAAAGATTTTCTCTCAAAGAAATTTGTGTAATATATAACAATAAACTTAATACATTAACTTAAATTCAAAAGAATGAAAATTTAATTTATTGAAAATTGGTTTAGCATAAAGTAAATTAAAGAATCATAAAATATTGCATTTAAATGCAAAACTATCTTTTAAACTTTTTATTAAACACTTATCGATAGAGAATAGAAATATTAGAAAATCAAATAGAAATAATTATTAAAATTGGACTTCACTAATTTATCATCATATATTAAGTTTACAAAAAGATTTTTTTATATACTTTACGCCAATAATCAACATTATCATTGAAATTATTTAAACCTTAATTTTTTTAAGGTTGTTCGGATGAAAATTTTAAAATTTTTAAGGAATTTTAAATCTTTAGAAATTGAATTATTTTGATTTATTTTTCTATCATTCATTAAATGAATTGTTTGGATAAATGAATTCAAAATTTTCAAATTTTAAATGCTTATTTAATTTTCATATTAATATGAATTAAAAAAATTTATATAAGCAAAAATGATTTTAATATATATATATATAAATAATTTAAATAATATTAATATAACTTTTATTAATTATCATATCTTTTAATAATTTTTAATTATTTTTTTAAAATTTATCATTAAATTTAAAAAATTTACTCTTAAATTATATAGAAGAAACTTCTACTGTTCCTGATTTATATTCAATTATTTCTTCTATTTCTACTGGGTCTGGAGGGTCTGGTTTTAAAATATCTTCTATTCTCCATTTTAATCCAGTTGTTATTTCATTATGTTTCAATGTTTTTGGTATTAGTGCACTAATTTTTTCTGGATTTATTAGTAACATGGTTGTTTCATCTTTAGGGGACATTAATAAGGCTTTGGGAGCCAAATGAGTTTTCATTACTTTATAATATATTCTGTATACTATTGCTACTGGGTATGAATTTTTATTCCATTTATTTTCAAGAATTTTAACATCCAATATTAGATTATTATCAGTATTATGAAAGCTTTTAAGAGCTATTGAATAATTTGGATAATTATTAATATATACGGGTCCTTGATGTAAATTAGTTTCAAACATAGTCAAAATCTGATTTTCAAGTTCAGTTGGTCTATTATCTCTTAATGCTACAAACATAGGAGTATCCATTCCTAATCTGAACAGGGGTTTTATTGCTATTTGTATTGATCCTATATGCATATACTTATAATTTTTTATATGTTCAGCTATTAAGGTTTTAGTTATTAATGAAATTTGTTCATGACTTGTTTTAAGTTCAATTTCTTTATCTACAATTTTTATTATATATTCTGTATTAAATTTATCTGTCCAATCTTTTGCATAAATATTCAAAAAAATTTAACTTAGGAAGGGTCTACTTATTCAACTGGTTTTCTATTTCTGGGATTATTAATTCATGTTGCATCAATTGATTCATATTGTTTTCTTCATCATTTTTCATATCTTCTTCAAACTTTTCTTTTCCCTTAAATATTTTTATTATCCTTTCCATCCTATCACACAAGTAGTTTTCTAACCTATCACACAAGTAGTTTTCTAACGGGAACACCTACGGGTTTTACTGCTTTTTCTCAGGACTTACTACCACTTACCGGCTTACCAACGCTAAAACTACCCACAATGAACTGGGCTTGGGATACTAAATTTATTTTCAGGAAAATCCAAGTTTTTAGAGGATATTCAAATGATATGAAGAACAAAATATGATTCAATTATTCAACAGTATTAATATTCTCAGAACTATATATATATATAATTTTATATTAATTTAGATGATATTTAATCTTTAAAATATAATTAACATAATATATTCACTTATATATATATATATATATATATTAATCTAGATTAAAGATTAAATATCATCTATATATATATATGACTTTCTAAAATGCCATTGTTAAAAAAGTAAATGATTATAGGTTAGTTTTTACGCTATTGTTTGATCCATTTTGCTAGTAATTTTTAATAAAATATTAACAAAAGTTATATAAAAAAAAAATATAACAAACATGATATTTTAAACAAATTCTTCAACTTGTGTTTGACATTTCCCCACCTGAAAGTTACAAAATATATAAAGAATCATTAAAAAAACATTATTTTGAAAATTTACAAAATATTAGAATGAGTCAGCGCAATTTCAAAAATAACTTAAACTCACCTGAAAGTTACAAAATATATAAATCAGTAATTTTTAAATCACAAATTCATCAAAATTAACTTTCAACGAGTGTAGGTTAGTGAAACAAAAATGATGGAATATTAATTAATGCACTTTTTCTTTTGGTTTATTTAATAAACTCAGCTTAGATGATATTTGGGATGGTGAAATGAAAAAAATTGACATGGTAGAGAGGAGAAAGGGAATCAAGTTAAGTGAATGTATGATATGAGATATGATGAAGGGTGGTCAAGAAATCTCTAAAACGCCTTCCTCTTCTAAGGTTTCGTCTTTTTCTCAACACAAATTCCTCTTTTTTATTTTCTAATAATTTTGCAATTAGGGTTTTTCCGTGCACCAGATCCCCTGCTTTTGGACTTTGTTGCTTGATTCATTTTTTCTTCACTTTTTATGGATTCACAGTAATTAATTGCTTGTTTCTCGGTCAGTTGGGTTTCTTTGCCTTGTATTGTAGCTGAATCATATTATGTTGTCTGTTATGCAATGGGTGTGCTTCTTTGTTTTTTAAAAAAATGAAGTTGCACTTCATCGTGTTTAATTTGTATCTGAAATTTAAAGTTAGTGGGGAGGGTTCGGATCCCTTAAACATGCAGCTTTGAGTTTTGCTTCTGGAATTTATATCTATGGAAAGAAAAATTCCCAATTGACTTGTCCCAAGGAAATAAAAAGATTTTTAATGTGCTGTGTTGATTGGGTTCGTTCAGGATTGCCTAGTAGCTTAGTTATTAATTAGTATTTGCTCGATAAACTTTGATACACTAAGATTTGCATTATCAATGAATGTTTAGTGTTTAAATTGTTTTGCTACTGTTACATGTAAGTATTTAAAATATAAGTTAACTCAAAATTGACTCTATCAACCAATCAGAAATCATGTTAGGGATGACTTCTAAGGTAGAGTTTGTAAAACTCGACAAAATAACTATACATGATACATGACAATATCTAATTGGTTGACAGTGTAAATGGTTATTATCTGTTTTTGCCATTGAAAGGAAGGAAGCTAATAGAATCACAATGTTATCAAATTACCTTTATGGCACCACCATGAAGGCATATGATAACATGATGTTTTTGGATCCCTTTGCCATTTGCCATCCGTTATTTCCCGATGTATAGTGCTGTCCACCAAACTGCCATGGCCATAGCTTTGTAGTGGTTTGTGATGCTCATGGAGGAACTTCCCCCACCCTATTTCTTTTTTCTTCTGTTTTAGAAAACTCTTTTTAAGGCTTTTTTGAGACTTTAAACATTTTGTATCTGTACTTTCTCTATTAGTCATTTGTTAGTGTTGACACATAGGGAAACTTAGGATTCACTTGTGTTCTCTCTTGTGAGCCTCCTAAGCTGCGGTCAAACAACTCCAGGGAACCGTCTCAGGCCACCATCCTTGCTGGCAACCTGAACCGTGGCGACTTGAGCTTTGGCAAGCTTTTCCAGTGAACAAATCCTGCAACCCATAGCAGTTTTTTCCTTCTTCCTTCCATTTATCCTTTTCTGTTTATTCATTTCTTCAGATGTTCTTCATCTTTTTTTCTGTCTGTGTCTGTTCTTGTTCTTCATCTGATCAATGTTTTTGTGCTCTATTTTTCAAAAATCAAAATTTTGGAATTTAGTTCTGTGTTTTTTAGAATTTCAGAATTATGTTCTCTGTTCCGTTGTTCTCTGTTTTCTTTATTAAACCTATAACATTGTTGCCAATTCTTTTTCACTTATAGGACAATGTATAAGCACACAAAATCAAAGTCATGCATCCTTAAATTCTATTTTTAATTTATTTTTGCTGTTTTTTTTTTTTTTTTTTTTAATTTTTAATTTTATTTTATACACATTAAAAAAAAATTGTCCACCATGGCCTCTGCCATAGGCTGCCACACTGTCCACTGTATGTTTATGGTGGATTTTTGGCTCACTACCATAAATCATTATCCGTTACTGATAACCTTGGTCACAGACTAAGGCAAGGTTAAAGATTAAAAATTGAAATGCAGTTTGTATGTTTGCGAAGTCTGGAATATTTGATTGTTATTAGGTTTAATCGAAGAATTAAATGTGTGCTGCTTTCTAAACTGCTGCCAAATTATTGTGACAGAGAACACTTTCAAGTCAGGGTTCAGTTGATGTATATGCTGCGCAGTGCAAAAATTGCTTGAAATGGAGAGTGATTGATACGCAGGAAGAGTTTGAAGAGATTAGAAGTAAAGTCAGTGAGGAACCTTTTCTTTGCAGCACAAAGGCTAATAGTTCCTGTGATGAACCTGCTGATATTGAGTATGATTCCACTCGTACGTGGGTCATTGACAAGCCTAACCTCCCGAAGACACCACAAGGGTTTAAGAGGAGCTTGGTCCTTAGAAAAGATTACTCCAAATTGGACGCTTACTACATCACACCTGCAGGCAAAAAACTGAGAACCCGCAACGAGATAGGAGCATTTCTAAAAGATAATCCAGAATTCGAAGGTGTATCTGTTACAGATTTTGATTTTTCTTCCCCAAAGATAATGCAAGACACCATCCCAGAGATTGTTGAGCAGAAGGATTCTGCTAACAAGAAAGTTAAGATAGCCAAAGATGAAGTTTGAAAAATATCATCTCAAGTTTGCATGTTGTGAAAGATGGTCATTCTGGCGGGTTTGTTGGATATTACTTTAGAGATTATACATGGTAAAACCAAACCTGGTGGCATCGAAACAATTGTGTTGTGTCATTGTATTATATTTAACTATATTCTCAGTGTGTTGTTCAAATGTAATCGCACACCTAAGCAGATATTTTCTGTCTTGTATGGTTCAAAAGTAAACAGAAAACCGGAAAAGATATGCACTGTATTCTTCTATGCACACCCCTATTATTTTGTTTCCCACCATGCTTCCTCGTCTTTTTTTTCCCTGTTATTTTTATTAACTTCCATTTTCTTGGTAGCCTCTCCTTGTGATCCAGATTTCTCCTTGTGAGGGGAGTAGCTAATTACTCCTTAAAACCCCCCTATTTGTTTGATAAAGCAGTTGAGAATAATTTCACTTCAGCAAAAAATCTCTCGACCTGCACTCGATTTCTTGCATTGATTTTATTTTTTATTGACTTAGAATCATTCCATAAATAAAGTGAAGAAATAATGAACTCTCATGTTAAGAAAAATGTAAGCAGCACTTGTCCCCCTAATTGAATGGATTTATATTAAAAACTCGTGCACTCTTGCATTAAGACCAAAAGTATTGCTAATATTGCACCAAAATTATTTTTAAAATATGCAAAAAAACGAATTTATAAAATATTCTCAAGCATTGGTTAAAAATAAATCATTTTTCATGTATAAGTCTAAAAACTTACTCTTTATTAAGCCTTCCTTTAAACATTATTCATATTAAACTAAGTCACTACAAACAATTAGACAAGGAAATGATTTTAAGATGGACTTTTGTGGGAGGTTGATTCAACTAGCGTAGCATACATCTGCGGGATAATAGAAATTTTGGGAGCATTATGTTAGTTTGTTTTAAAAGGTGTGGGATAACTAGAGCTTATCACAAATTCCTAGTCATGAATTATACGAGTTAAATGAGCAATGACCAAATTTAAAGAGAATTATTTGTAATATCTTTTTCAAACATAGCTATTATTAATTTTTATTTGTATCATTCGTACCTGATTTAATATCAAATGGATAAGACTGATTACTTGAGAACTACAGAATTAGGGTCCACTTTGAATGAATCGTGAAGATGAAAAGTAAAAAAAAAAACTGGTAGATAACTATGTAATCATTATTGTTAATTAATTTGCAACCTCTGGAAATGGTCTAACATTGAAAAAGTAAATAATGTTCAGCACTAAGGTGAACAATAAGACTCTCATGGTATTATCTATGTTCAGCACTAAAGTAAACAATACTATTATGAAACCGATGTTTTGATTTTCAAATTAGCTTTCGGTGGACTTGCTATTTTATGATTTAAAGGTGAGAAAAGGGGTGGAGAACAGAATATCAGTCTTCTAGGTTAACTATACAAATTTGCTTCACTATATTCTAGAAATGACTGTATTGTACATTGTATACACGATTTCCCCCAAAATAATCATTAACATCAATGTCATGTATAATCATGAATCACGATGCCAACCTCCCCAATCTGTTCAGAGAAATGTTTCATAACTGCATAATGAATACCGCACCAGAAGTGTTGCAATATTAATCTTATCATGCAGGCATCAACCTGCATCGGCCTGCTTCGGACTCCGAGCTCCTTCAGTATGTCTGACAGTTAAACCATATGTGAGCATCGAACCTGGTTAGCTGTTAGTGACCAGAAAATGGTGCACCGAAAAATTAATCAGGTTTTGTATACTCAAGTAGCATGTGCGGGGACCGGTATATCTTCACTAGAGTCCAGTAAAGAACCTCTTCAATTCCAAGCTCACCCTCCGCTCTAGCAGCATATATATCCTCACAGATGGCTATCAATCTACACCAGAAGCATGAAAAAAGAAGTATAAGTAACCGCATGATGTATCACAAATAGGGTTACTACCAATCTTCTAGTAGAATAACGCGTGTTCAGTGACATCAGTCACGTTTAAATGGCTGGACATTCTCAATGGAAGAATGGGGAAAAAATTTATCATTGTTATCGCCATCTTCAGGAAATAAGTCTGCAGTACCTGTCACAGGAAGGTAGGTTCTCATAGGGAATTCTCATCCTTAAGTCAGAGCACTGGAGTCTGATAAAACGTCCAACAGCAAGAACAAAAGTTATGTAAAGCCCCCATATGCTGAACTTGCTGAGTGTGTCGCCAAGAATACCCTCTGAAGCAGTATTACAATATTAATAATGTTGTACAAGGCATTATCAGGGAAAGAAAAATGAATCGTGGACACAAATAATGCCATGGCCAACTTACGTGGTGGTGTCTCCTCAGATATTATGATTGCCATCGGTCCCGTCAAACCTCCACAAAATCCACTTAAATTTGATGAATTAATATCTCGGAAGGCCCACCACTCAAATTGCTCACGATTTATAATGAGATCAGCACTGACAGCATTATCCTGAAAAATTGAATTGGAATTTTCTAATAGTAATTTTGGAGCATTCGAGGCAAAGCATATTACAATCATCGATGAAATGAACACCAGCTTTCCTCCCTTCGTGACTATCACTTCAAATTAATTTTTTAGTAGTACTCTCTTAGTCTCATAATAAGTGTCGTATTAAAAGAAAAAATAAATTTTAAAATAAGTGTCATATTAATTACCTCTTTTTTATTTATACTTAATAATATTATGTAGAAAGTAATTATTGTACTGTATCGTTTTTTAGTAAAAATGATTAATCACAAGGTTAATTTTGTAAAATTACTATTCTCTTTCATTTATTTATTAACTTTTTCTAATCTGTGTAAAATAACTTGAGACGACACTTATGAGATGGAGGAAGTAATTTCTAATTTATAATCAATAGTTAGAAGGAAAAATTCCAATGATATTAGAAAAATAAAACTTAAGTACAGTTTCTTAAGTGTGATTGGTACTGTTCTCTAATCAGAGTTGGAGTTTTACTTCAGTAATATATATAAATATATATTAATAAAATCTGCATTAAATGGAAGTGTATAATACCAAGGTAAAACTCCAATTTTGATGAGAAAACAACATCAACTGCACCTAAAGAACTATACCTAAGTTTTGTTCTATTAGAAAAACTACATCAATGGACTACAAAAGATGGTTAGCTTCCAGATGTCACCCGCAGAATGCCAATATGCCATTATTTTCTCAAGTTTTCATATAACCAATAATTGATGGAAGAAACAAATAGAAACGTTACTTCAAATAAAAGAGGAAAGAAGTGGGAATAAGATTACCTCTTCCAAAGGTCTAACGTCACCTGAACCAGTGACACGGAAATATCTTGGATAAACATTATAAATCCTAAAGCTGTTCACAGAGCCATTAAGAACCTTCTGAACATCAGATTGTGTTGGAAGATATTGAGGATCAACAGCTTTTTCATATTTCACAACTTCTTTCCCTTTTGGCCTGTCCCTTGAAAGTGTCCAGGTGAAAAAAATTTCCATGTCGGTATTCCATTCAAGGGACTGAATCAATCTGGTCCGAACAACAAGAGGAACAAGCCACAATGTACTAGCATCAGCTTGACAACATATCAATTGGATATCATTCTTATTATATGCATCCAAATAGCCATACGGATCAGGATTGACATCTGAATTTAGTAAATTCCACTGGAGTCTTTCACATAGAGTAGTTTGATACAAATTCAACCTTCCACTTACTGTCTTGATATCAACCTGAAAGCTAGCATCTTTTATGGGGTTTGCAATGTTTGTTGGGTTACCACTGCTATACATCTGCAAGTAAAAAAAGAAAATATAATTCAATGAATTTGTTATATGCTATTTGTGGTGATTGAAAAATTGCAATGGTCAAACACATGAACATAAGTTTAATATTGACACACGAGTTTCCTAATGATATCACAACCCAATACCAATATTTCCAGACCAAGTTGTTGAGAATCTATAATTATTATTAAACAAGATAGATTTGAAAAAAGAAACACAAATTAAAATTAATAAAAGCATTCATTGACATTATTTTTGACAAAATCATTAGAAATTATAGTTATGCTTTTACCAAATTGGATGGTTTTGCAGGTTCCTAAGAAGAATAGGCATATTGGCTGGTAATTGTGGACATTCTAGCTCTAAATTAATTGGCAACCATTTTTCATAAATTTATCTCACCCTTCAATTTTATTCTGACACTTTTTTTTAAAATTTTTTTTGGATCTTCTTACATAAGATTTTCTATTAAAAGAACACCACAAACTAAAGGGAATATCAATACACAAGTTTTCCAAGCATGCAGAATATCTCTAAAAGAAACATCTTTAAAGAAAAGAAGAGCAACACAAAGGGGCTGGACAAACTATCTTGATCCAAAGAAATAGTTAGAGATGTAAAATAAAACCATTTGTGTCACCTAACAGCTTAGACATTCGAAATTGCTGGTTCAAGACATTGTATTAAAGTCTTTGTGACCAAGTGGTCTAGACTTCGAACCTTGCCACCTTTATTTTTCTAATTGTTAAGATATTCTGTTTAGATATAGTTTAGATATTTTAGTTTATTCTCTCCTGATTTATCGTATAGTTTCTATTAAGATAATTTTATAAGATATAGTTTAGATATACTAGTTTATCTTCTCCTGATTAATAGTTTAGTTTCCTTAGTCATATTTATCTTAATCCCTAAACTTTAGGGATTGATTATGTTACATGTTTATTTATTTAATTGTACCCATCAATTCAGAATAATAAAAAATTATTCAGATTCAAGTTGGTACCAAAGCTTTTTGGTCCAAGAACCCTAATCCAGCCACCACCGAGGCATCTAGGATTTTTTCGAATTTTGTCAGCGGTTGTCGAAGTTGACGTCGCCTGTGTGTTCAGAGGTCACCGATCGGCCTCTCTATCGCAAGCCACCTCCAATCGGTGTTTCATGCGCTCTCACCTGCGGTTTTTGTCAGAGAAGCTCGTCAGCGCGTGGGGTTTACACGCCACCCTCCAGGCCTCCGTTTGCTACGCCGTTTGCTCTGTTGGATTCGTTAGCCCTCTCTCTTCTCGTTTTGACCCTTTTCAGGTTGTGGGTCACACTCAAGGTGGTCTCTTGGTGATCGTTTGATTGCTGCCTCGAAATTCCGTGGTTGTTTGGTTGCTGCAACTCTTGATTTGGAGGTGATTTTGCTGTTTTTCTCCTTTTAAGGAGTTTCCAAAAATTGAATCTTCCAAAAGGGGGCTGATCTCTTTTTCCTTTTCTGGATCACCTACTATCACATCTGAAAAACTGAATAGTAAAAATAGTTTGGATTGGTCCCCTGCTGTTGAGGTGTGATTTTTAGGCCAGGGTCTTTATGATCATCTTACTAAGAAGGCGTCCGAGGTTGATAAAGAGGTGAAAGATGAATGACAGCGAGCAGATTATCAACTTGTATCTCTATAGTGGCAATCCATTGAGCCTAAATTATGGTGCATTTTCGTCCATACAAGATATGCTATGATATTTGGATGAAGGCCCGAAACGTCTATACCAATGATATTCAGAGATTGTATGAGTTTGTTCGTGGTCTAGCAACCGTTTGTATGGTTGATAATGATTTGCCGTCGTATTTGAATCGTGCTCAATCCACTATTGATGAGCTCAAGCTAATGTTGGTTAGTGATGATCTTCAACAAATGTTAAGCAAGCTTAATAATATGTTTATGGTGTTTATCCTTCATGGCCTTCACAAAGATTACAAATCTGTTTGAGATCAAATTTTGACAAATCTTATCATTCCTACAGTAGAAGAGCTCATAGATAGATTGATTCGAGTCCCTTCACCGAAGGCAGATCCTCACACAGAATCCAAGTCCTCTACTTTTATCTCTAGTACAGCTGACCGTGGAAGTCGAGGACGTGGTCGAGATCGTGGTCGTGGTAAAGGGGGTAAAGGAAACCTCCATTGTACCTACTGCCAAAGAGATGAACATACACGAGACAAGTGTTATTCCTTGTATGGCTTTCCGAGCAAGACAACTAATATGGCTCAATCTTTGACTTCGGCTCTAGAGCTTAAGATTGAATCTGAAGGCAATCATCCAATCACATTATCTGCTGATGATTACAAAGAGTATCTTCAACTGAAGGCAGCTCAACAGGTCCCTTCCTTCATCACTGTTGCTCACACTGGTAATTCTATAGTCTGTCTCTCTCATTCTACGTCTATTGGACCTTGGGTTTAGGACTCTGATGCTTTTGATCACCTAACTAGTAATGTCTCCCTTTTTCCTAGCCTATCATCACCTAAAACTCCGCATCATATCACTCTTGCAGATGGGTCAAAAGTCCAAGCCACTGGTATTAGCCAAATATCACCTCTTCCTTCACTACCATTAAAATCTATTTTACTAGTTCTTGGATGTCCCTTTAATTTGATTTCTATAAGTAAGTTGACTCGGTCACTAAATTGTGTCATAACCTTTATTTCTGATTCTTTCTTGATACAGGATCAGAGTACAGGACAAATGATTAGAGTTGGATCTGAATCACATGGTCTCTACTACCTTTAGCCTTCTACCTCTACCATATGTGCATCTATTGAGTCTCCTGATTTAATCCATCGTCACCTGGGTCATCCAAGCTTGAATAAATTAAAGAAAATGGTAACTCATCTCTCACGGTTAGAGTCCTTAGAGTGTGAGTCATGTCAATTAGGGAAGCATGTTAGAGCTTCTTTTCCTAATAGTATTAATAATCGAGCTATGTCTCCTTTTGATGTCATTCATTTTGATGTCTGGGGTCCTAATTGTGTTCCTTCTCTTTCAGGGCATAGGTATTACGTCACCTTTATTGATGATTTTTCTAGATATACTTGGATATTTTTACTGCAAAATCGTTCTGAGTTATTTAATATTTTTCAAAGTTTCTATTCGGAGATCAAAACTCAATTTGGCAAAGTAATTAGGATTTTACGAATCGACAATGCTAAAAAATATTTTTCAGATTGCTTCAAATCATTTATGGTTTCTCATGGCATTCTACATCAATCTAGTTGCCCTCACACACCTCAACAAAATGATGTAGCTGAGCAAAAACATAGACATATTGTGGACACTGCTCGTACTCTTTTATTGAATGCCAATGCACCCCAAAGTTGTGGGGTGATGTTGTCCTCACTGTATGGAATTCAATAAATCGAATGTCATCGTCTATCTTGAATGATCAAGTACCTTATTCCCTATTATACCCATTTGATCCCCTTTACTCTGTTCATCCTCGTGTCTTTGGTTGTACTTGTTTTGTTCATGATCTTTTCTCGGGACATGCTAAGTTGTCTGCTCGAGCTATCAAATGTGTGTTCTTAGGATATTCTCGTGTCTAAAAAGGGTACCGTTGTTACTCTTCTGCTACACATCAATTTTACACCAGTGCAGATATCACTTTCTTTGAAGATAGATACACCATATTTCATTGCTACAGATGTCTCTCTGGTTGACTCAGATTTCCTTTCACAGGTATTACCTATTCCTCATTGATCTTGGTGTGCCTCCTACACTTGCTACTTTAGAGGCACCAAAGATTCCTCCCACACTATCAAGGTCTGACCATCCTGTACACCGATTTGGGATAACCTATGAGTGTCGATCACATACTATTGTTCCTCCTAGTGCTTCTACAATTGAGCCATGTGATTCTGTCCCTACTCCGGTCTCTTCACCTACTCCAGCCTCACCTACCTCAGTTGACTTGCCCATTGTTTGATGATCCAACTTTGTATAGATCGGTAGTTGGTGTCTTGCAATATGCCACAATCACACGGCTTGAGATTGCCTTTAGTGTTAATAAGGTGAGTCAGTTTATGTGCTCTCCAATGGAGGAACATTGAAAAGTTGTTAAAAGGATACTCAGGTATCTCAAAGGAACTGTTGGACATGGACTGGTGTTTACCCCTACTAGTTCTACTACTTCCTTCAACCTTACTGCCTTTACTGATGTTGATTGGGCAGCTGATCCTAATGATAAGAGGTCTACTTCAGCAACCTGCATTTATCTTGGTCCTAACCTGGTGTCTTGGTGATCCAAGAAACAGTTGCTTGTTGCAAGGTCAAGCACCGAAGCTGAATATATAGCTTTAGCTCAAGTAGTAACAGAGGTCTTGTGGATTCAATCCCTTCTAAAGGAATTGAAAGTTCACCTAAACACTCCTATAGTGCTCTGTGATAATTAGAGCACAGTAGCACTATCTCACTATCCAGTTTTACACTCAAGATCTAAGCATATGAAACTTGATATCTTTTTTGTTCGAGAAAAAGTACTCAGTAAAGCTCTTGTTTCGCATATCCCTGCTTAGCATCAATATGCAGATGTTTTGACCAAGGCGCTGTCGCCCAAAAGATTTATGTTTCTGCGATCCAAGCTCAATGTTGTTGATCCATCTACTATGTTTCATCCCCTTTGAACTTGTGGGGGGTGTATTAGAGAAGAGAATAAGATAATAAATAATTTTATTATTTACTGTATTGATCAAGTATATTTTTTGTTTTCTGTTAAGAGTTGCCAACTCATCAAGTTGGTTAGTTTGTTAGGGCTATATATGTAAGTGATACCTCACGGGTATCACAATCTTTTGTTTTCATCAATAATACATTTTACTGAAATTCTCTCAACTCTTGGTATCATCGTGAGCACGGTGAGATCTGGGATTCTGTTTTCGCTCGTGCCCTTCTTGCACGACTTGTCTCTGTTCGTTTCCGCTTTCGATCGCGTCGCCTTTGTCGCATCCCGTGGCTGCATGCACACTGCTGTTT